TTACTAAGATTCTTCATAGATTCCTTTCTTATTCTATCATCTGAGTGTTGTCTCAGTGAAGGTGGTCTCTCTGGGCCCAGGACTACCTTCCATTCTCCTGTATCAGTACTTTGCAACTTATCTACCTTCTCGAAGGGAAGATAAGGGCCTGTTTCATCCATCCTAGGACCGATAGAGCCTCTTCCGCGTTTGATCCTGTCATTGACAAGAGATTAAGAAGATGAGGATAGCTAGCAATTTCAAAGGTAAACAGAAGCTGTTACATCGAGTGTGAAAGGACATACCGTGATTGGAGAAAAGACTCAATCTCATCATCTCCTAAGCCTTTGTCATCTTCCGAGTACCATCTTTTGTCCCATGATGATGATGATGACGCACGAGTAACCTTTTTCTCATCACCGGAACTGCATCTCTTATCCAAACTCCTTCTCGAGAAACTACCACTATGTACCATTTGGCTACTGCTGCTACTTTCCTCTCTTGATTTTCTTTTGAGCCTTTCATCTTCTAGCTCAATCTCTTTCTGCCGAACTCTCCACATCTCATTGGTTTCTACCGCTTTGTTTGCTGTACGGTCAAGAAACAGAGCATCTAAGAAATGAGGGTAAACAATTAAATCTTTTAAGCTATATCTTCTTTTTTTTCAAAGAGACAAAATAATATTTGAACTAGTCGAGAAACTATTACGGAGGATCCATATAAGAAACATAAACCAGAACAGAACTTTCACATGTTACCAAACTTGTTATCGTGTTTCAATCATTAACCAACAAAGAAACTAATCCTCTTCCAAAAAATGTTTCAACGAACAAAGCAAACTAGAGCAATGCAAAGATTTCTCCTTTTCCTACAGCCTCAACTTGCAGTAGATTTCAAAAACCCATTGTGCAAGATAATAGCCTCCAATTACAAAGTTTGTTTGACTGATTTCCAAGGTAGAGTTTGAGAAAACTATATAATCTTGAAACTAGAATCAGTAAAAAAAATGAACCATATGTAATGCATAAAAAAAGTAAAGGGTGAATAGAAAAAGCATACATTGTTGAACACCAAGAACAGTTGCTGTGAGAAATCTTGAGTTAGGTCGATGCCTTACATTAGGCTTCTCAAGATATGCTCGTACGCCTTCTTTCTCAGCTTGTCTTCTCAATTCTGCTGCTTCTCTTAATAGAATTGAAGCTATTCGATTCTCAGTTTCCAGATCCATCCTAAACTCCACACAAAGCAACTGTTCAAAGCTACCCAAAAGAATCACCATATTCTCTAATCAAATCAATCTGGGCGTTTCCAAAGACAAACCCAGAAGCATAATCCAATCGCTAAGACAGTAAAATCAAGAACCCTAAACCTTTCTGCCACAAAAGGTACCTTCTTTCGATGCGAGAGCAAGCAGAGTAAAGGAGACAATCGCG